ATGATTTCCTCCTTGTATAAAACATTGTAAAAGCTGATTGATTTATTTTTTTTACTTGCAGTTTGGGTCGTAAGTATTCTTAGGAGTACATAGTCCTTTAGTCTTTGATCCAGACAGGACTGCTGGAACTAAATTATCAACAAGTGATATTAAATAAGAGCAAACATGCAAACATTTGCCTAATTGGTTAATGGCTGTATGACAACATTGCTGCTTTGTCAGACATTGCTTTGCAATCGAAAGTTGACATTATTCTCACTTTATGTGATTTTTCTGTCAGAAAACCACAGTAACTTAGAATAATGAGTCTGTGTTCAGACAAGTTGAAGGCACCAAAAAAAAATTAGTTGGGACAAAATATAAGTTGCTGACAATAAGAAAATGTTTAATATTTTAGTTGCCTAAGAGTATGTTATGTTGACATTTACAATACTAATGTTGATGTAACACTGAATTTTGTGTCTGCTGTAGACTTGGATGGGTTGGATGTTTACAAACATATAATCTTAAATATCTGAGATTCATGAAAGTAATAAGTAGTACTGATTGAAATGCTCCTAAAAAGCTCTTTGTGAATTGCAGAGAAACAACACAGGATTGTACAAATTACAGTAGTTACCAGAAATAACAAGGGCATATGTGGAAAAGAAATCTGGTTCAATTTGAATGTTGAATTTAATAGTAAATGGATCTGAAATTTTATTGATAGCAAAATCATATCAAGGCAAGTACAAAAAAAAGGTTATTTTTACAGAGATAAATATTTGTATTTATCCTTAGATTAACTCAAGTTAACATCTACTTCTTTGAAGGAACAGATTTCTAGATGTTCTTAACCTTTTTTCTGCAGATCTTGAGGCCAAACCAACTGGATTATCCTTTTTCCATTTCCCATTTTTTGTCCCGGCACTAATTGATTTTCTCCACGACGACAAACTGAATGAAGAATTGCTGATTGCCATCTGTTGCTCACCTCGTTCCCTCCTCCATCTCATTCCTCTTTTCCTGCACGTTATGCCTTAAAGCCCTTGCTCAAAGTTAATTTCTCAAGTGTCCTCTTTTACTCCTTCACTGATTACCTCAGAGTCTTACATGCTATGGGCATACTAATGATTTTACTTCTTGTTTTGTCATCAGGAAATTGATGCCCATAATTGAGGACCATAAGGGGAAGCCAGTGGATGTTGTGCATTATTTAATGGAGATGAATGACCATCAGGTCAATAACCAATAATCACTCAGTGAGCTCCTTAACTACCCCCCACTGTTACCAGGACTGAATGTAATGGAGCTAAAATATGTGCTTTATTTTAATCAATACTACTAAATGAGCAGGTTGTGATCATTAGGAAGGTGAAATTACAGAAACAATGTTTCTGCCTCGGCCTTGAGGAGCTGATGCCAGATCACTGTAGCAGTGACATTCATTTCTGTGTTGGCTCCATCCAGAGTTTCTCTCATGGTAATGTGACATTTCTGAGGGACTCGCACCTTAATGCCACGCTGGAGGCAGACATGCTAGGAAACCAAAACAGTGCTGACATCAAGCAGTAACCTCCCTCTGCAAGGATGGGTCTTTAGAGAGGTTGAGAAAAGGCCATTGGTAAGAAATACTTCCAAATGTATAGAAATAATATGGGATCTATATTTTCTGGAGCCTAATATTGAAAAGATAACCAAACATAAATCAATCAGAGGCGTAAATTGTATTTTCTCTCCTACACATCTTCAATTTCCTCTCTTTCTCTCTCCTAACTCAGCTCTTTAGAGCAACTGGGAGTGAATGTTTGTGAGTGTGTGGGTGAACAAGTGTATGCACAAATAAAGTTTGTCTTAGACAGAAGCTTTAAATCAGTCCATGCCATAGAACTAGTAATGTATAAAACCAACAACATATTTATTATCAGATGAATATGATTACTTGTCATTATTATTATATATAACTGAATGTGCACATGAAGCGCTTGCATTTTAGTTCAGTGTTTTAAGGGATTGTGATTTTCTACAGAAGTGCTTTCTTTTTATTGGAACTATTTAAAACTGTTTTATGTGACTGTACAGGCTGGCATAATTAAGACATTTTTCTGCCTCATGAATGTATCCAATCATAAAGGTCTGTATTACTGTACTGTATGGCGTATAAGTGAATTATTGCCTAAAAGTTTTGATTAAAGAAATAAATACCAATTTGTCTAAAGATTGAGCTAAAAAGCTGCGAGTGAACTGTCTTTTTGTCTAAACCGGAGGTCTTCAACAGGGGTCCAAGGAGGTACAACATGGGATTGCAAAAAGTTTTGCTTGATTAAACTTTTTTTTTTACATTCCCTCTGCAATTTTGTCCACTAAATGAAATGTCTTTAAATCCACATTAACATGAATTCAACAGACTGTAGTATACAGATAAATCGAGGTTAAAGATGTCTTTCAGTCATCATTGCACACATTCAGCGACACACAGGAGCTCTTTCAAGCTGGGCACCTTTTCATTCAAATAAGCATTAAAGGTGCTTTTTAAAAAGCATTTAAAAACATAAAATAAGAAAAATACCAATGAATATTTTTTTTTTCAATTTTCCCTACATTAAATTAGACAACATACGTCCCTTTTCGGGTAGATTAGAATTAGTTATTTCTTTTTGCTCCAAACCAGATTATAGAGCAAGAAGCCAGAAGATAGGATAACTTCAAAGGTTTTAGTTCACATACATTGTTTTAAGTATTTCATTAGGTTTAGAGTGTATGACTTGAGTCAAACCTGTTCGACAGCACAGCTAGTTTTTTGGCAGGCTTTGGGCAATTGTTAATTTGGAAAGCCTTTACTGCCCATGTTACAACTTCCTGGCTAATGTCTTGAACAATGCTACTTCTTTAACTCTTATAGTCAGCCAATACTACATTGTTATTGTTTTTCTTCACCAGTGTGAATGCTAGGAATAACAAATCCATAAATTGTAAATTATGTCTACATTTGGTTTATGAAAGGTAAATATGATGATATAAACACAGGGATGTGCCTTGGTCAGTGATAAATGTACGTTTTGTTCTTTTAACCATGTTGATTCAGCCTCAACTCGTACGGGTACAGCAAGAAAAAAAATCATCTTCATTAGAAGCAACACACACACACCTGCAAAGCACATTACTCTGCAAATATCGCATTAGATTTAAGTAGAAAATGCAGCAAAATTATTTCACATTTGAACAACATCCACAGGCACAGTCAGCCTCTCCTGTTATGTTCACAAGCTGCCAATTATTAATCACATGGATAAACCAATTAACACCTTTGGCAAGAGAAGCAAATTTGCTATTTTTGTATGTAATGCACCAAACTCCAGCAGCAGAAGTAAAGGGTATTTGTCTGTTGTAGAGAGACAACCTTCTACTTGCAGTTTTTCAATAAACCTGCATTACTGTAGATTA